TATATGGCCGTTAGTTTGTAAATTTGTCCATTGTGTTCGTGATATTTATTTTGGTAGTTTATTAAAATATCGACTTCGTTATATTTGAAAACACCAATTTTTGCGGAAATTTTATTTAAAGTTTAAAGTTTTCTGAAAAAAAAACGTAACTTTCTTCTATACCCCTGTGCGGAACAAAGACATTAATAAATTCAATGATAAATAATAATACGCGACAAGCTGGATGGAAACTTATGGAAGAAACTCAATCATATTCAAATCTAGAATGCCATTTTATCTAAAGAAGAAAACATTCGACTAATGTCTACTACCAGTCATGACCTATTCACGCGAAACCTGGACACTTAAAACGGACATTATAAGGGTACTGCAGGTCGCACAACGCTCAATGGAACGAAATATGCTGGTAATAACCAAGAGGAACTGTAAAAGGATAGAGTAAATACGACAAAACACCCAGGTAAAAGATGTCATCCACAGAATCAAATCCTTCAAGTGGCAATGGGCAGTACACCTGGCAAGAAGGACAGACAAGAAATGGACCACAAAAATTACAGCATGGTACCCACGAGCAATCAAGACACCTAGGCAAAGACCAAACATGAGATGGCATCATGATTTTAGGAATTAGCAGGGATAACTTGGGCCCGCATAGCCAACAATAGACAACAATGGGCCCAACTACAAAGAGAGTATCTAAATATGTGGGGGTGGCTAAACCATAATTGGAAATAGTTGAATAAGCTGAAATGATGATGATATAATAATAAACCAGTAACAAAAAAAATAAAAACAGAAAACTCTAAAATTATTAGCAAATATGTAATTTAAAGTAAAGGAAATAACCTGTTGTGTATTATTTAGGCATCATCTTGATAGAAATATCTAAAAGCAGGCAGATGCAAATCTTGGATTTTATTCGCGTAACCGAACCAGGAGAAAAATCTTTCCCCGTACGATTTCAATCCGGGCGGAGCGAGATAGGAAGTAAAGTCTGGGCTAAAAATCAAGCCGCTCAATCAAGAAGTCTGTTTTATATTCTGGCGTCGTCTCGGCCTCGTTGTAAATAAAGATATAGCCCGAGCTCCTTCCTATTGTTTTGCCGCTCAGGTTTTCATTAGGATCTCTTATTTTCGCTCCGGAGGAACCTGATTTCTGGGGAAAATTAATAGAGCCTTGGAGGAAAAGAGATTTTTTCCTTGTATTTCCGAAATCAAAGAGATAAAGAAGAAGAATATTTCGTACAAAATTACTTTAATTAAATTTGATGACCTACAATTTTGCAAAGAATAGATTGAAGAAAAGTAAAGTTTTAAATATATTAGGACCAGTTTATCTTAAGTCGTCCAAATATATTTAAAATTATTATCTAAAAATTTCATTATCTGTGTGTATTTATTATATCGGGTCTCGACGTTGGAAACATAGGAAATCCCATGCAAATTTTGAACTGGTTAAATATTGGCTCCCCTATTGATTTTACAGCGAAGTTGTAAATAGATTTTTTAAAGGTTTATGTACGGTAAATACACATTCCAAATTTGAACAATATTCGACTAGCCGTTTATGAGTAATTTAAGAAAGATTGCATCTATTTTTATATTAAAACCGAACAGTTAACAATCAAACACCAGTCAAAAACACAGTCAAATTACTTAAAATCGGTTTGTCCAACATTGTTCAAATTTGGCATGTGTGTTTACCAAACGTAGACTTTTAAAAAATATATTTATGGCTTCGCTATAAAATTAATAGAGGAGCCAAAATTTGCATGGGATTTCCTATGTTTCCAACGTTGACACACCACCCGGTATACATATTTGTTTTAAAAACTGAAATATCCAAACATCCGTTTTATGATGTTTTTAAAATTATCTTGCAATAGATATAGAGTTATATAATTATTCAACTAATAAATTTTTGGTTAACAACTGCTTAACTCTAGAGGATATGATAAACGTTTCTTTTTTTTACATTTTACTCAATTTTTTCTTGTTTCGTTTCCTGCATTATTTCGATAGTTGATATATTGAACTACCACATGTATTTTAAATTCTATTAAATTATTTTACTACTCAGAATATAGAATGATAAAATATCAGAATATTATTTGCTTCTAGACATTTTTGACAAGAATTTTTTGTGATGCAAAATCTATTTAAATATGTTATAACTTCGCCAAAAATACTTTGGAAACTTTGTATTATAATAAGTTTATGCATATACAGGGTGAGTCTTAAATAAGTGCTAATATTTTTAGGGCTGGTATGTTTCGGCCCAAGAAACACTATTATGAGGTTCTTTTCGTAAGAAAAATGAAAATTTGGATTTTTTTTTAGTTTTTAGTTAAAAAACATAATTTCTGGATAATATCGTAACACAGGTAGTAGATTAAATTGACAGGAAAAAGAACAGCAAATATGGTGGTACACCATTTAAGCACAAGCAAATTTGCACAGCCATAGCCCAAGCAAATATGCATAGCCATTTAAGCAAAATTATATATTTTTTGGAAATTTTCAAAGTAAAATAACTCGGATATTTTGAACTTATTTTAAAAACCGTAAAGAGAAAATAGGTATGTTTCTTGTATCAAAATCTACCAAACCTGAAAATATTTGCACTTATTTAAGACACACCCTGTATACTACAAGAATCTAAAACACTTTATTTAAAATTTAGATAGACGTTTCTATAACGATGTTAGCATCTTCAGCAGATCTAAATCTGATTTAATCATCTGCTGATGAAACTATGTAAAAAAATAAAAACTAGTGAAAAAGCGGTTGTTAAAAAAGTATATTCTGGCATATTTTAAAAACTAATAACCGAAAATATAGAGAATATTTCTCAATAAAATAACAGTAAATATATTTGTATAATATTTTCTTTTAATAGTAGCAAAAATACCTACCTAACTACAACCTCCGTGAATTATAGCATGAGTGAGCATATTTAAAATGCAACTGTTTTAAGTTTAATAACCCTTCAAGCGCTAAGTGATTTGAATGTTTTCTATGGAAAAAATCATTATTAATTCAAAATGCTCCTCTTAAAATTAGTATGCAAGTAAGAAATGTTTGAAACCACTATAATTTCTAATAATTTACATAACTTAACGGGACATGATTCTGTTTTATCTTTATATTTTATCATCAGTATTTAAGCATTAGTGTTTAAAGATATTTACTGCTAATTACAATTACATATGTTGTGTCAAAGAATCAACATATTTTTTATAATCCTTATAAGATTCAAAATTTGTAAAAAAATATTTTAAAATTAATAACAAAAACTTTTTGGCGCAAAAAACATATAATTCAAGTGACCGATATATAATTTAAGTGCCCACTGACCGATAAATTACATTACCATTGATATGTACTTTTCACCAAACTTTTATAACTAGAGAATAGTTAAAAATTGCACATTCATAATTGCACATAACATTACTTATAACAGCAATTACTTTACAAATATTAAAACTAAATTGTTTTAGTTCACTAACGCTCTACACAAAACGTGTGTACATCTGAGTAAGTTCTATATGGAATTAATTTGTACAAAAATTACAAAAAATGCATTCGTCATCCAATCGAGATTGAATATAATCTTTGGTCTATCTATAATTCTGTAGGGACTTAAATATGTACAGTACAATGCCATATTTGTAATATGGCACCTAACATCACAGATACATGAAAACGTTCTTTTATATTGTAGAATTATCAATTAATAAATAAAATTAGCTTGCAATAAAAAACTCCAAAGATGAATTTAAAAAGTACCTCACTGCAAGATAAATGTCAAAATATACAATTCAATAAAACAAAAATTTTGAGAAAAAAAAATAAAAAAACTTCCGACATATTTTTATAAAGATTCCTTCTTAACTTTAAATTAATTATTTAAATTAGGTATTTTTGAAATCATAGGTATGTTACTTGGACACAATTTACCTCTATACAAAGAAGTTTGTTCGTTAGGGCACAAATAAAAAATAAACCCAAACATAACCATAGATCAATGAAACAAGTTTAGATTGGAAAGTGCCCATAAGGACAATGTTAACACTATTTGGCGCTATTCTTGCAACGACACAAAGCTTTTGAAAATTTCGGAGCGGTTCGGCTTTATATCCCGGCTCCGGAATTATATCGCCAAATATTATTTAATCAAATTTATTATTATTTTCTTTTAATTTTATAAATAAAATACCGAATACAGTGTGTTGCATACAAGAAACTTTATTTTATATAAGAACATGTATGAAATACCTATGAAACATTGGAAACCAACGTTATACCACGATCCACGATGGTTTTTGCAGTTCACAGTTCACAGCACAGCTTTTTAAGTTTTTAATGCCACTTTTTCACAATTATTACGGGTTTGAGTAAATAAAACTTAAATTAAACTAACAAGATAGCAATAATTACTTTGAAAATTGACGTTTTAAACATTTATCGGATTTTTTTCAATGAGAGCGGTTTAGATTTTGAAAGATTTTATAATTTTTGAAAATTCTGCTATGGAGATATGGACAAGTGAAAATTATTTGTTTTTGTTTGCGGTTGTTCTTACCGACCGCTGTAGCAGCGCCAGATCGCGTACAACGTCGCGACCCAAAATTTTGACGGGCATTCCAATCTAAATGTATTTCCTTTCTCTATGAAGATAACTTAATTTAAAAATTATGAAGCTTACTGTCAAAAATTATTTGACACTGACATTACATTCTACATTTTCGGCAACTAGACTATTACAGCCAACTAGATTTTAATGGTTGATGTGACAAGAAATATTTTTTGTGGGTCAGCTTTGGAAAAAAACTGTTAAAAGCTATTTGAGGTAGCACTTTTAACAACACACAAAAAATGTGGCTATCCCAAATTTCATTCAAATTGGAATATAGATCCATAAAATATATAAAAAAATGTATTTATTTTTATAAATTTTAAGTAAAGGACAAATGAAGCACTTTGGTGTAGAGGTAAATAATTTTCAATTAACTTATTTTGAATTTAAAAATATATAGTAGTTTCACGTACACGGAATATTGAAATGCCCTGTATACTATAATTAATCCAAAGTGAAATGGTACTAGAATATAAATTATTTTTTTAAATTTTGACAGTTTAAAAATTATTGCAAGCTAACCATAAACAAAACCTATTTAATTCGTCCAACAAATATTTGAAAAGGTCGACCTCAATCCTTCCTGTTGCGTCTGCACCAACAACCCTCCTTGACCTTGATCCATCAAACCTAACTGCGGTCTGAACAGGGCCTTAGCAGCGTTATCTACTGAACTACCTTGCAACTGGTCCCTTCCCTGCGACGCGGCGTGAAAACTGTTCAGTTGAGTATTACCTACCGACAGTTGCATGGGACTGGACAGTTGCTGTTGCGGCGAACTCCGGACAGGCGGCGGAAGTTGCGTAGAACTTCCGGTAGTGTGGCACTATGTGATGCTGGGACGCAGTTCGGTGTGCTGAGTCTCCTTGTGTCTGCGCAGATCGACCTTGCGCTGGAACGCGCGGCCGCACAGGTCGCAGGCGAACGGTTTGAAGCCGGTGTGCTTGCGCGAGTGGGTGATAAGGTTGGACGATTGGCTGAAGGCCTTGCCGCATACGGTGCACTTGTGCGGTTTTTCACCTGAAACAAACCAGAAATATACTATACTATAGACTGTTAAAATGAGGAAATATGAATTTATAACAATTACTTTATAAGTGGTAGATAGATAAGCAAATTCAAAACCAAAACTAAGACTGCCTGGGTGTTAATAAACTTGGTCTTGGTCTTTCTGCACGTCTTTTTTTAAGAGATTTTTACTAGAGGCACTTTCCACATAGAAAATCTTTAAATAAATAGTGTTTTTAGTAATTTAATTAAATAAAACTTTAAATAATTAAGAAATTGTAGGAATATTTGTCTGGCGAAAATATTTATTTTTTAATATATTATATTGAATTAACTTTTATTATTTTCTTAAAAACATATCTAAATATTTAATTATATAACTCTTAACTAATGAAATAAAAAAATAGGAAAATAATAATTACAATAAAATAAATTATTAAATGAAAGTACTATAATAAGAATTAAATTTACAAAAATTGTATTATATAAAAATGAAAGAAAAAAATCAAATAAATAAACCCACGCAAGTGAAATAAACGCAAGTTTAATTTAATTTAAACTTGCGTTTAACCAAGCCAAACAATTGAACAAAAAAGGTTGGATAATAAATACGAAACAATAAGCTTAATAGGTGGCTGAGTATTCAAATAAAAAAAAAGTTCTCAGCTCAAAAACTTATAAACAACATTATTTTTAAGAATTTTAAATACGAAAATGTGTCTAATTAAATATACAGGCAGCGTCAGTGCAAGTTCTGAGTAGCTTTTTGCATTTTCTTACTGAATATATCAATAAATTTAATGGTAACATTTTATAAAATAAATATTTTCTGTTTCAAAAATAATAAAAACAGTTAAAAGATAACGAGACAAACCGACAATGTCCATTTTATGGAATTTTTAAGTAATCAACTCATTTTGTCCATCCATGTCATTTTCCAAATAATAACGCGTGCAGTAATAAAATTTTAACATTGGTATTTGGCAATATTAAATCATCGTTTTCTCCGTAGGTTGGTTTTGTCATATCGTCGGTTTTTCCTGTTACCCTTCAGTTGTGTTAACTCCAATTATCCATTATTTAATGCAAATAAAACTTTAAAGAAAGAAATTATAAGAATATTTGTCTGGCAAAAATTTACATTTTTTTAATATATTATTATATTGAATTAACTCTCTAACTATAACTGTTATAGTATCAATTTTCTCTAACTATAACTGTTTGGTCCCATTTTTATTAGTTTTATTTTTACTTAAAATTAAGTAAAAATTGTGTATTCTACTAAATAAATTAGCATTACAACCATGCCTTTAGTTTTACTAATAAATATTCATTTTAGGTATAATTCATATTATTGGAAATAATGTGGTAGATTTGCGTCCTTACATAATATAGATGAAATGGTTTTTTGACAAAAATACACGTCGGCAATTTTTTAAATATAAGGTTGTTTAATTACTGATCCTAAACCTGCGAACGCCATTTTAATTAATGGATATATTAAGTTATTAAATTTAGATATGTAGTACAATTTTATTGTAATAGAAAATACAGTGGTTTTAAAAATTGTTGAGAATCACATGTTAGATGTAAAAAATCTAATTACTATATTATGTATTTTTCATGTATTTTAAAATTTTATATATTGTGTTTTAGTCGACCGATTTTGACATTTTTTAAACAATTTGCTGCAAAATTCTTTGACTTTTTAGTACTACTAAATTAGAAATTAAGTTCTCATCTGTCAGGTATACGAGTGAAAACAAAATGTTTTTAAAATTTGGTAAAAGTTTGGTTTGGTTTGGTTTTTGATATCTCCGAAACTAAAGTTCCAAAAAAATTCGTAATATATCTAGAAATTCATTTACCCACTAGTAGTTATAAAAAGCATTTTTGGTAAACTCTGTCTCTAATAGTTTCTGAAAAATAAAATTATTTTTTTTTTAAATGTCCGATTAAATGTATATCTCCGAAACTAAAGTTTCAAGAAAATTCGTAATATATCTACAAATTCATTTACCCGCTAGTAGTTATAAAAAGCATTTTTGATAAACTCTGTCTCTAATAGTTTCTGAAAAATAAAATTATTTTTTTTAAAAAGATTAAATTTATATCTCCGAAACTAAAGTTCCAAAAAAATTCGTAATATATCTAGAAATTCATTTACCCACTAGTAGTTATAAATAGCATTTTTGGTAAACTCTGTCTCTAATAGTTTCTGAAAAATAAAATTAATTTTTTTAAAAAGGTCCGATTAAATGTATATCACCGAAACTAAAGTTCCAAAAAAAAATCGTAATATATCTAGAAATTCATTTACCCACTAGTAGTTATAAAAAGCATCACCCTGTGGAGTAACTTAATAAAGCAATGAATGTAAAAATTATTTTTTCATTTTATTGTTTTCCGATAGTCTGTTTTTTGATTCATCTCAATAGCTATATTTTTTTTTCAGATATTCGCGTTTAACGGCGACACTAACATTTTTTCGTATTTTTTACATTTAAACCATGCCTTTGCTTTTGATCCTTATCAACAGACCTATAAAGTAGTGTTTATGATTTATGTTATGTCACTGCCTTTAAAAAATTATATTATGATTGTCTGTTGTGCAGTTACTCTAGCAGATATGGTTTTAAGTCCAAAAGTTGATAACTACCATAATCAATTAAATCAGCTATAGCCGATACATCAGTACTTAAAACTATCTCTACTATAGTAAACGTCAATAAACAATAATAATATAAATTTTCTATGACAGTGACATTACAAAAACAGTAAACAATATTTTATAAGTGTGTGGATGAGGATCCAAAAGTAATGCCAAAATTGCTGTTACTGTCCTATTTAAGAACTAATAAATCTCCAATAAAAATAAAGATATTGAGATGAATCAGAAAAACAAACTATTGAGAAAAGATGCACCTAGATGATTTTTAAAATCCTTGCATTGCTAACATATTCCACAGGGGTTTTCCAAATTCTACCAAGATATAAACATTTTGTTTTCCCTCGTATAATTAACAGAAGGCAACTTCATTTTTAATTTAGAAAAAGACACTAAAAAGCCAAATAATTTAGCTACAAATTGCTTAAAAAATCATCAAAATCGGACCCACTAGAATAAAATATATTAAACTTTGAAATACATAAAAATTTTAATGTGTCAATTTTCTATAATGAATAAATATTCAGCGAAAAAATCTCTCTATGGAATAGGTTTTTGAACTTCACCAGAAAGAAAAATCAAGATAGTTCTGAAACCCTAATCTCTAAATCCTTTCACTCGATGTCGTTGTTCTTCCATGCCAGTCTGGTCCCTAGCCTCCGCTAAATTCTCTCTTGTTTCATCTTTTTGCTATTCACAGAGCCTCATTAGTTTCGCCGTATCATCATGTCCCACTCCCACCAGGTCGCTCTGCATACGTCCGTTCCTGTTGCACCCGTTGCTAGGGCAACTCGAGGGCGCGGGCGGGGCCTTACGGAACGAATCACGGCCGCCACAAACTGATAGCAATCGATAACTAGCGACTCGCACGGCGGTCTTTAAGAGATGAGTATCATATGTTGACGGGTTATGCAGGATATAAGAAGGTGAGAGAAAAAGTGAGATTATTATGGCCAGTTTTATAGGTTAGGTTATTAATCTTTGGACAAAAAAAACTAATCTTAAGAAGATCAAACCAAACAATATAAGGTTTAAAGTCTATCTGGTGGATAAATCTTATTTTCGTAAAATTAGTGTAATGCTATTTGTATAGGTAAATTCATTTAGAGGCATTTCTCGACTTAGCTACCAATTTTTGTGTGTACGGTGAGTACAGTCACTACTCTTAGTACAATAAGATATACTAAATAAAAAAAGAAGAGCAAGTATTGCCCTAAGCACATGCATTCTAGCGTCGGATTAAGAGGTTATGTAGTAAATACTTCGCATTTTTCACCCTTCGACACTGCAATAGCAATTCACCCCCTAGACATGTAAACATAAATACTACATAAATAGTACTACATAAAACCTACCTAAGACTTCGTTTGCCGATAGGATAGTAATAAGTTATTTGAGTGTCTATAAATTTATGTTCCTTTTAGCACTAAAGATACTCGGTTCCATAGAGGTTAATTCTAGACTTGTGGAAGATTGAGAACGTGCTCTAAATATATTGGGTGAGTAGCAATGTTATGTTAGTCTGCGTACCGGATCAAGAAGGTCACAAGGATAACGAATAGGTAGATAAAATAACTAAAAAGACTCGTCTATGCCATTTATACTCCTATAATCCTTCTGCAGGCTTGCAAAACCAGTTACAAGAATAGACATAAAACAGTGAGTAGCCAACAAAGCGCTAGAAGGCTAGAAAAAATCACCAAGGTAGAAACATGCGAAAAAGTTCATACTAGAATATTCGTCAAAATTTACGGCAGAAATGACAAGCAAAGATTAAAAGACTGTCAAAGCAGTACTGGGTCTACTAACAGAGAATTGTAAGCTAATAGGTATCTCAAGCTGATGGATTGACTGACGAAATCATGTGCAGATTTTATGTCAGTGTTTGACATCCTGGAACATGTATGTGTGTGTGGTTTTAAAATTAGGTAATCACAAACCTATATGGAGGGTTCTATCCTCAAGTTATGAGACTAAAGCTTCATTCAAAACCTCCCAATTAGTGGAATAAATTAGTGGTTTCAATTACACTTTATACTTTTTAGTTTATGATTATTCACAATGTCTAAAAAACTCAATTAAAATTAATAAAATATCCTAGCAACAGCTTCCGGTAGTCTGTTTTATCCATAGAGAAAGCATAATATTTAGTTTATAAAAAAATAAACTTTGGATTTCTAACCAAAATTTTTCTTGACGGGGGATAATCAAAGGCCAAAAAGACATTCCTCGCAAATTTTGAAGTATGATTAGTGGAAAAGTCAAAAGTTTGTTAGCTTTTTTAACTAATTGAAAATTACTACCACTAATTATGATGTTCTAAATGCTTGTTTCAAGTAGCGTA